GAGATCTTCCTCTGTGGACGATGACGTAGTTATGTTGCCGCTGCCACCATTGATATTAGTATTTTTGGCGCAGCGTGCTATCAGCTCTTCGTATGGTTTATTGTGTAGAAAGCAAACAAGCACAACAGTCATATTGTCGCCACCCAGGCCGCCCATTTGACAATCGGGCGCGAGACAGTGATTCATCAATTCTTCGCAAATTTCTTCCGGGTACATGCCCATTCCGATACGCTTTCGACAGAAGTCGACGACTTCTTTGTTGCTCATAACATCCCAAATGCCATCGCATGCCAACACAATGAATTCCCAATCGGCTGTGATTTCACGTGTCTCCACATCGGGATAGGCTGCAACAATTAATGAGAGCGACAGCGGTGGCGTCGGCAACGAGTACATAATGGGTTGAAGATGAATGGGTGCGGAAAAGAATATAAAAAATATACAAACATACACATATAAGTATAAAAGTTAATTAAAAATTAATAAGTTAAATTAATAAGTCAAAAAACAACAATCAAATAGTATAAATATTTTCATTAAGCAAGCACATTTGGTTGGTTGCCTCCCCCCCCAAAAAAAAAAGGAAACGAAAAATAGCCATCGAAAATAAACAACGAAAATCGTTGGCGCGAAAAGGGGCCAAAGTGCGTAATTACGTAAATTTGAAGCTATAAATATAGATCAACACGTTGCGGTGATGAAAGCAATTGCCTTCACTTTATAAATTAAATGTTCATCACATTCTTGCGCTCTTCTTCGTAGTTCACACATTGTTGTTGCGCTGCTGCTGCTGCTAGCAATTGTTTTGCGTGGGTGCTATTGTTAGATCATACAGTGGGATCGACAGCAGCAAAAATTATAATAAATTTAATAACATCGTAGTGTGATAATTTCAGTTACATATATACTGGATATACATACATACATAAGTGCTTTAACGCGGGTATCATTTGTAAAGATATACATACTCAACGTACTCAAACTAAGGAATTAGCAACTGCGCTTTGTGAACTACGTTTCAATATATTGCACAAAAAATAGCATCATACTTTTTAAAGCACACATACATACATAGGCTAAGGTCGAGCCTGAGATCTAATTTTTTTGATCTAGTCTTAATGTATTTTTGGGCAACGAGGAACCCGGTTTGTTTGCAAACCAAATTATGATCGACGAACTATTTCAACTTGCTGGTAACTCTATAAAGCCTCTGGGGTTTCTTGTTAAATAACTGAACCAAGTGAATTTTATAAGCCACTTTTTTCGTACAAAACTACTTTCAGGCTTTACGGTTATTTTGACCCATCTAAATAAACTCCCTCAAATTTCGCCGTGGTGATGGAAGTCAGTCAATGTCTTTCCTTTTTACTAATTCCGACCGTTTGGTGGAAATCGCCTGCTCCAATCGCGTTAGTTGTTGAATTCCCGCATAGTAATCTATTTTTTTCCAACCCCGCGGAACACTGTACTACTTGTTGCACCCTCCTTTTCATCAATCCGGGCTGTGCCACCATTTATGAAGATTATTCGTCATTCGTTCCCACAACAGTCGGGTCTACGTAACCGGAACTACCCAGATTTATATTTGGCCAAGGACTGTCCCTCCAGCAACACTCTTTGGGGAGCTTGTATGCTGCTACAACAACAACAACATTATTCTTCATTAGACCACAAACTTTTTCTTACATTATAGTCGTAGCCGATCGACTGTTCAACGCCCGTAGTGCTTCATTTCGAAAATTGCACGACTTAGTTTTGCTTCATGTGGAGAAACTGTGTTCACGAAAACTTTCACTTTTAAATCGCGTGGAACCTAAATATCGATCTTCCTTGGGTATCCAGTTAACTGGTTAACATTTAGTTTCGCAGCGATACCGGTCTACTTCGTCTTTTTGTAGAATTTTATCGACTCTTTTGAAAATGGACAAGGAGACCTCTAACCATCGAAATTTCCGGGGCAAGAATGTTTGACAAAAGCGTTCATACAAGCACTCGCCACTATATGTCAATAAGGCTGCACTGCATTTTTTCAGAAATAAAATGAAAAATGTGGCGAAATGGACCTTTGCTACAATTATTGCATAAGTATTTCAAGGCAAAACCTTTAGCAGAAGTACATGCATATATTGAAACTATGAAATCATTTTCAAAAAATGTGACTTGCAATAAGGAATACATATGTATATGAAAAAACAATTTCCAAATTGTTAAATTGTACCATTGTAGCGCGCAAGCTATTGAGCGACAGGTAAGCAAAACAAGCAAACTTTAATGGAACAGACATTTGGAAATACAAAGCAAAGATTCAAGTATGCAAAAATAAACACATACATCAGAAGTATTATATCTACACTCATACAGAGGTACATATAATGAAATTTACATTACGTTTTTGTTTATAGGCAATTAAGTGCCTTTGCTACTCGAGTGCTGATATGATTGTATCTATTGTGTTTACTTGCGAAATGTGAATATGGTCATTCGGTACAGCAGATAATGTACTGCTAAACACAATGGAACATTGCATTCTTGAAATTAAAAAATTCTGAGAAAATCTGCTACATATCGAAAAGTGAAAAATGATTTTACTTGAGATTAATGCGCAACAATTTGGCAGTTGTTAGAAGCATTTGAAAATTTGACTTTAATTTAATTTCCTTAGATATATGAAGAAAGTGTTTTTAAACGATATGTGATCTTTCCTTCCTCACCAGAAAATCAACTACACCGGACAGTTTTAAGTGGTATGACAAAACACTATTTTTGAACTTTGTTTTAAGGGTAGCAGGTTCGTTTATTTTTATTTTTGAGATCTAATTTTAGTGGTTGCTTCGCTTAGGTTCACGTAACATTAGATTATTCCTATACTTTCGTTGTTAATATTCATGTTATAGTTATGAGGTATTCTTTTTATTATTTAGTAAGTTGCAGCCCGAATTACCTATGTATGTATATATATGGTCATGACCTCGTACAAATTGCATATAATTTTGTTGCAGTTGTTCTTAATTTGTCATTCGCTTTCTTTTACTTATTATTTTCCCTTATTATAAGAGCATGAAAGTATTTGGAGAATGCTGCTACTGTCGTGGTATATTTTACTTTAATGAATAGTGCATGCATTCACTATTATTTTAATAACCGTTCATGTCCTTAATGCAGATTTGCCATAAGTGACAACAAATGAATTAGCTAAGCGTATTTTCACTATCATTATACACGGAGCAGCAGCAAAAATGGTTCTATAACATAATTTTTCTTTTACTAAACTACATACACATTTACATACCGGTTACGATCTGTTCCTCGGGTTTCTTATTGGCATTGCGTTTGAATATAAAATCGCCTAGTGCGCGTGAAAGCGCTAAATTGCCATTTACACGATTGAATTCCACATAGCCGCCACCCTCGTGGATGCGTTTGGTTTCCACCTCATTATTTGGCTTATGGTCCATAGACAAAGTCTCTACCTCTCCATTGATGCAGGCAATTGCACGCGAATCACCAGCATTGGCACAATACAAACGGTTATCTTTAATAAGAACAACGACGGCTGTTGAGCCGGCCATTTGTTCGCCCCATGACTCATTGTAGAGCATCTCATAGTCGATGTCAAGAAATGCCTGCGGAAACAAAAAACCAACAAAGATTAGTATTTATATATATACATAATACATTTACATTTAATATGGCTGTATGTTGCAACATCTTACCTGTTTTAACGCCCTTTCGACGTTTTCTCTGTACTCGGGACGTTTTAATATGAATTTGTGTAGATGCTTGCCAGCATATTGGGCAACTGTGGCGCCACCATGACCATCGTAGACCGCAAAAAAGGACGTGCCCGGATCATCAGGCAACGAAAGTATGTGTGTATGCGAATCTTCCATGTTGATGCGCCAACCTTGCATGCAACTCGAACCGACGCGGTACAATTCATTTTGGCAATATGCAGACTCTTTGGCTGTGACTGGTTCGGAAAGTGTTTGACCCATTTTATTGATGGAGTGTTTGTGTGTGTGTAGCAAGTGCAGGTGGTGTTGTTGTTGTTGTTGTGGCAAGTGCAATTACTTGGGAGTCTATGGCGACTAGTATTATCCTTTCTTTTACCAACTACTCACTATTTCCGTTGTGATAGTAAAAATTTACTTAATTAACGAATTGTAGGCCAAACTTTGCTCGCGAAACTGCAATACATCAAACAGAAAACAAGCTGATTAAAATTAATATTGTTACTAGATTTTTAACATAATTTTGTGGAGAAGAATGCATCTGATTTATCGCAGGCAACAACACACAAGTATGCGTTAAAAAAATTTTTTTTTACCTCAATTTCCCGCGATTCATACCAATGCGGTACGGCAAACATTTACAAGATCAATGCGTTTGACATAACCTATCATAAACTTGAAATTCACGCTCAAAAGCTTTATTAAATCTAAAATTTTGTGTTATTTTTTTGTATTTAAGTTACTCCAGAAATGTTTAAAATGATGGAACAAAACACAAATGAAAAAAGGAAGTGATGTCGCAAAGTAAAAACACAAATGACAGTGAGCAAATTAACACACACACCCAAATGCATGCCAGCCAAGCGTCAAATGGAAAGTACAAAAAGTTCTATGAAAACTACGAAGCGTATCAGAAAATAAACAACAATGGGGAAATGGTTGGTTAAGTACAGCCGGATATCTGGAAGATGCATTTGAATAATTCGCATGCGTTAAGCTATAATTGGCTGCCTAACTGGCTGGCTGTTCTCTCCGTCTACCGCCCGCACCCAACAGATGACTAAGCAGACCAATGAGTCGTGCGCGCAGGTTTCACGATTACATCATGGTAAAAAATCAACTACTTAAGTTTTCATCCAAATTTTAATTAAATAAGTATATATGTACATATGTATGTATGTACGCATGCAAGTTTGCGCGAGCGTAAATTTGTATAGTAACTACCTACCTATGCGTCTTTAGCTAAATATTGATGCTGAATCAAAGCTTTGTTTCAAGAAATAGAATCATTGCAAGTAAATAGAGTTATATACGTACATAGATATACATGTGATTACCTCATAGTTAGTAAACCTTTCTTTAGCATCTTTGATTCATAGCAGCAGAAATGGTTTTTTTTTGTTTCGTTTTTTTTAATACTATTGTATGTTTTCGGTTTCCTAACTTGTTTAACTTAACACGTGACCTCTAAAAACATTGTGTTAACAACAAGCAGATGCTTGCGAATCTTATCTACGCTTTATTACGTGTAGTATTTGATGTATGTACTATGTACATATGTACAGTTGTACACAAAATAATAGGAGTGTGATATTTTGACCAGCTTTGGCTATTTGTCTTTTGTTTATTATTTTTTATAATATTTTAGCTGGTTATACAACAAACACCATATAAATTCAGATTTCAAACTTTGTTCAAAAATTATAAAAATTTCCCAAATTTCCACCCGAATTTCAAACGTTTTAATCAGAGACTTTAGAAAAAATTTTGGCATACAGTTTTGTAGCCCATTTAATTCTAGTAAGTTAATGCAAGTGCAAGTTTCAAGCTGCTAAAAAATTCTGTTGATTTTTGGCAATTTTTTTTTGCTGGCAGTGCCCTCCATATAACTAAAAGAAAATTGTCGAACGTACTTTGTATGGAAAAAACCTTCAACCAAAAAAATTCTCAAAAATCAACGGGATTTTTTAGCAAATTGAAACTTATACTTTATAATACAATAATTGAATGGGCTACACTTACCACAATTTTCTCTAAAGATTCTGATTAAAAAGTTTGAGGTGAAAATTTGCAAAATCTTTATAATTTTTGTACATAGTTTAAAATCTGAATTTATATGGCGTTTGTCGTATAAGCTAGACTTTTATAAAAAAGTAATAAACATTAAATAAACAGAAGACAAATAGCCAAAAGTGGTGAAAATATCGCACTCCTATTATTTTGGGGACAACTGTACATACATACATACATATATACATAGATAGTCGACGATGGTATAACAATAAAAATAACCTGATTTGTTGTTGTTTTTCAAGTAGGATAAATTAAAGTGCACAAAAAAGTTATCAAAAGTTGAGTAGCATTAGAGTGTTTGTTTCTGGAAAAAAACTGAGTATGTGAGGTACCTATGCGCGAAAAAAAAGTGAAAATTCATGGCGTACAAAATTTTGCAATATATTTTATAAAATATTTGTCTTTGTCTTCGCCTTTGTGTTTCTTTAACATAAAAATATTTGCCTTTGTCTTTGCCTTTGTCTATTTCTTTAGCAGTGTCTTTGTCTCTTTGTCTTTGCCTTTATCTTCTTCATCTTAACCTTGATCTTCATCCTCTAAGATCATAGTCATAATCAGGGAACGGATTTTTAGGACCTAAAAACCTATAAAAAAGGCAAAATAAAGTAACGAAATAGGCAGGAAAAGGCAAAAACAAAGGTATAGCCAAAAAAGCAAGATAAGGCACTAAAAAAAGACAGAAAATACGAAGAGCAATCAAAAAATTTATTTTTTTAGAAAATTTTATATTACAAGTAAAATGAGAAAAACTACGAACTAGTTTCATTATATGAAAAATTTGTACTTTGACTATTTTATCCTTTCCAGTTTCTAACTCATAAAACTTTAATCTGTATAGTTGTAGTAATATTGAACCACAAGATGCATTTTGAAGTTTTCTGACAGCATTTTCATTCGATTTTCACGAAGAAAAGCCTTGAATGTACTAAATGTGCGCTCGACGTAAGTTGATGCAAGTGGAGACCAATTTAAATATGTAACGTTTGAAACGTTCATATTATCAGGAATAAGGGCGTTTTCCTCGCCTTTTACAATTTATACACACCCCTTATTGTCTTCAAGCCTACGTTAGCTGAGAAAACGGCTTTGAATTTTTTCAACACCGATTTGGCAAGAGGTCCCTGCGCTTCTATAAGCCGCATGGGCATGTGTATATTTTGTAATCTTAAAAAAAAAATTGTAAATGCTATAATCACTTTTTTAAAGGTAGAAAAGGCAAAAAAAGGCAAATATCCTAAAAAAGGCAAAAAAAGGCAACATCAAATGTGTATATATGGAATCAGGGAAAGCTAAATCGTGGACATTCTTAATCGAATATACTCTATCTCTTTAGCAGAAAAAAAGCAATTTCCATAAAATCCGTTCCCTCGTCATAATCGTTATCATCATCTTCCTTAACACCATCTTCTTCTTCATCGCCATCTTCATCTTTTATTGATTTTTTTTCTTTATCTTAATTTTTATGTTCATAATTCTCTATTTATCCTTATCTATATCTGTACCGTTATCTGTATCCAAATTTTTATCTTCATCTTAACCTTTCTATTGTTTTATCACTGAACTGAATGCTATCCCCTAATAGTGGGATTGTTCATTGAAAAGATGCATTGCTCGACTTGAAGAAGACACAACTGAATATCTACTGACTCAGTTCTGACTAAAAATAAAACCTCTTAATTAGGAGAACTATTAACTCATAATGGAATTTCAAGTTAACAAATACTTAAATTTCAAAAGATTTTCTTTATTCTTGGAAATAAAAATAAAATATCGATTCCAAGAAAAAATCCGCAGAAAATCTAAATGTTGACGAAAAAGAAAACAAATATAATGGACATGGAATTTTTCATAAACTACATATATATGTATGCTTGTATACAAGGGTGGTCAAAAATAAGTAAAGTCGGAATTTTAATGCTCTCACCCCCTAGGATTGTTGTATATCGAAAAATATACCCCTATTTTTAACCGACTTCCAAAAAAGGAGGAGGTTATCAGTTCGTTGGAATATTTTTTTTTGATGTATGTTACCGCATAACTTTGGACCACGTCAACCGATTTCGATAATTCTTGCATCGGAAAGGTAGTGTCTCAGAGGTGGTCCCATACTAATCTGGTTGAGATCCGATCAGTGGATCATGAGATATATATATATATATTTTTTTTATATGGGAGTTGAAGTCGGTTTTTTTTTGCTAAAAATTACTTCTTTATTTTAAATTTAAAAAATATTTAGAGGTCGCTCAGAGCGCTAAAAATTTTCCATGTATTTTATATGGGAGAAAAACAGCTCTTCGTAGAAGTGGTATAGAATTATTGAAAATCAATATTTTTCGATCGGAAAACTCTGGTTCTCTTCAGGAGACTTCTAATAACAATACCCAATTGTTGACTTAACCATTTTTTAATACTAAAGATTTTTTTTATATCCCTTCATTGCATTTTCTGGCGGTTTTGGCGGACCAATAAATTATAGTTACTATGGAAAAATGGTTAAATAAGTAATTGGGTATTATTATGAAGAGAAACAGAGTTTTCCGATCGATAAATATTCATTTTTAAGCCACTTCTACAAAAAGTTGTTTTTGAGCGAGCTCTAAATTTTTTTTGATAAAAAAAATAGGGGTATAGAACAATCCTTGGGGTGAGGTCATAAACATTCCGACTTTACTTTCACAACCCCTTCCCACATGCATTTTCGTACCCCCCTAATGCACATACATTCGTACCAGTGATGGAAAAGTAGGTACAATTGTACTTTTTTCAGTCCTTTTATAATTTTAAAGTACATTCGGTACATATAGACCGTTTTCGGTACATTTTCTACTTAGTGAAACAAACTATCCAGGAATTCTTTCCTCCTTTCAATTATATCAACCAAGTGCAGACTTATACATCTGGGCTTCTCTCAACAGTGAAATGCCCCCATTATTTGTTGCTAGGAGGTAATTTCACTTGCTCGTTCTCCGCTAAACCAATCTCTATTGATTTTTTCTCAAGGTTCAGTAAATGCTCGAAAGATTCAAATGTATGTAATTGCATTTAATGTGAAATAGGTCAAAACACATTTTTAAATATCGATTGATTTACATAAATTAAATTAATGTAGACCTCTCAGAAGCTAAATCAACATTTTGGCGTTATATGAAGACACGAAGCGAATGCGAGATCCTGGCTTATATTTGGTCCAACAAATGCTTCAGAAGCATGATCAAAAGAGCTCTCAGTGAGCGCTGGCAAGTTGGCGCAGCACGTAGACATGGGTCGACGAAAGAAAATGATTCGCATTGTCTAAAACTTTGTTTGGCCTCGAAAAGTTCCTCCAGTTTGAACAGATCATAACATATTAGAGCACGTAATCCCAAAATTAGGCATGGCAGATT